CTTATCAATCCTTGAGAAGTAATTCTCCTCCTTTGTCATATGGTTAGTTGCTCCACTGTCTACTAACCAGACGTCCTCCATCACTGTTGTTGCTGCTTCGCTCGCACTGAACAACATGTGATCTTCATTCGAGTCTTCTTCGAAACTCACATGTGCTTTCTCTTTCTTCTTTGAGTAGCACTGATTTGCAAAATGGCCCGTTTTGCTACAATTGTAACATTCCTTGTTACTTCTGTGATCCTTCTTTGGATCATCCTTCTTCGGTTTCTTCAGACACTCGCTCTCGGTATGGTTGTTCTTCTTGCAGTAACTACACCACTTTTTGCCTCCTTGGCGCTTCGAGTTGTCTGATGTAGCATCAGAATTTCCGTGTTTAACACGAGCATCGAATGCTCCTTCACTGGCAGCCAGCCTTGCCTCATGAGCCTTCAAAATCCCGATTAAATCTGCCATCTTTGTTGTTGTCAAATCGCTTGTTTGCTCCAACACACTGACAATGCTGTCGAACTTGGCTGGGAGAGAGATGAGTATCTTTTGTATGAGTTGGATGTTTGTCTTCTGTTCTCCATGATAAGTTAGTTTTGTTGCCAAGGTAACTAACTTATCTGTGAAAACCTTGATGTCTTCACTCTCATACATCCTCAAGTTTTCAAACTCCCTTCGCAACGTTTGAAGTCGAATCAAACGAACTTGGGGAGAACCTTCATACTCTGCTTTCAATGCATCCCATGCCTCTTTAGATGTTGTTGCTGTTGCAATCCGTGAGAAGATATCATCTGATACAGCAGTTTGCAAAATTTGCAAAACCATTGTATCGTTCACCATCGCTTCTTCTCTAAGCGATCTTATCCTTACTGTTTCAGGGGTTTCATCCACTTGTGCTGGTGGGGCTCCTACACCTTCTTCAACCACAGACCATAACTTCCTGGTCTTTAGAATGGTTGTCATCTTAATGCTCCAGAAGTTGTACTTCTCTCCATCAAATATGGGGATTACTTGATTCTTCATCATTTTGTGTGCTTCCGATGTAACGTATGACAGAATCTTCTAGCCTCCTCTTCTCCACGCCAAGTGTTTCTCTTACTAGTGCTTTCTGCTTCGTCCTCTCAATCGAAGAGCTCTGATACCATGTTAATCTTTTACCAACCGCTTTTGTTACAACGAGTTTAAGANGACAGAATCTTCTAGCCTCCTCTTCTCCACGCCAAGTGTTTCTCTTACTAGTGCTTTCTGCTTCGTCCTCTCAATCGAAGAGCTCTGATACCATGTTAATCTTTTACCAACCGCTTTTGTTACAACGAGTTTAAGAGAAAGAATAAAATGGATGTTACAGGCTTATTTCAGATGGTTACGAAAATGATGTAACTTCTCTAAAATGCTTTTTATTATTGAGATTCTTGTGTTGATGTTACATCGAATGATTGATCTTTATATAGAGATCGAATCATTAGGCTAAGAGACATACCTCTTCGCATCCAGAGTTACATCTCTTCGATGTTACATCTCTTTGTGTAATAATTAACTAACTTATGTAAATGTATCAAGGAGAGATTAGATTATATAGTTTAACAGAAGAAACCTCCACGGCGGGAAGAAACTATTCGGTTAGAGCGATGGTTCCTATCATCGCCGTTTTCTTGGCTCCTAACTGCGTTGGTGTTGAAGAGTCGCAAAGAAGCCCCGGACGAACGGAGCGAGGGATGACGGTGGAAGAGAGGAGTCTCCTGAGTGCTAGAGACGATGATGACGCCATATATATATATATATATATTTTTTTTTTTGTAAAAGAGAAAATCTATAATCTCCACAAAACTCGGATCAGATATATTTATTTTTTTGAGCGAAGAGAAAAGCTGTTGAAGAGAGGATTTATATGGCAAGGAGAAGAAGATAGTGGTCGGTCTGTTCAAGGATGGTTCTAAAATTACGTGGTTCGCAAGTAAGTTTTTTTAAAAAAACGCAACGATATTTTCTGTACGGCCCATAACATGTGGGCCTAGATCTGGGTATAAAAGTTCTCCTCCGATTCGGTCTGCTATAGATTAAAGATTTGGACCAATTGAAAACTGGTTTTCAACTCGGTTTAAATTGATTTCGTTCACCAAAACAGGGATTCAACGGTAGACGACGCCCCCCTTAGAACAAGCTCGTGGCTAACGAAACCCTAATCATCACTCGAATTCGATTCGTGAGCTCCTTAATTCGTTCTCTGGATTCAATCCGATTTCTTCGCCATGGATGCTCAACGAGCTCTGTTGGACGAACTTATGGGGGCAGGTGAGTTTTGTTATCGAAGAAGCAATCAATACTAGTCGATTTTGTGTGTTTGAATCAGCCAATTAAATAAACGAATTTCGCAGCTCGTAATCTGACGGATGAAGAGAGAAGAGGATTTAAAGAGATTAAGTGGGATGATAGAGAGGTCTGTGCATTCTACATGGTTCGATTTTGTCCTCATGATCTCTTTGTTAACACCAAAAGCGATCTTGGTGCGTGCTCTAGAATTCATGATCCTAAGCTCAAAGAGAGGTGAGACTCGGATTCAAAATCTCCATTGTGTTGATTTGATTTTCACTGTAGTGAGAATCTGAATCGATTTCTGTTGAGATAATAACTGTTCCTCATTTGAATAATTAATTGTTCAAATCAATGTTTAAACAATCCCTAGGCGGGGATGAGTTTTGTAGAGGATTAATGTTTAGGCGGACGCCGATTTTTTGAATCTAGGCGAGTGCCTAGGCGCTGTGTAGACCGATTTTTAGAACACTGATTCAAATCAATTAGGTTAATATTAAAGTCAATGATCTCAATAAGTCTAAGGTTTGGTGTTTGTTGGCTTTGTTTTTTTTTCAGCTTTGAGAACTCTCCAAGGCATGATTCCTATGTTCCTAAGTTTGAGGCTGAGCTTGTTCAGTTTTGCGAGAAGCTGGTGTGTAATGCTTGCCACTCTCTTATTACTCTTATTTTTTTAAATTCGAATTGGTTATTCTCTAAGGTACTAAGATTTGGAATTGGTTGGTTGCAGGTGAATGATCTTGACAGGAAGGTAAGGCGTGGACAAGAACGCCTTGCGCAAGAGCTTGAACCTCCTCCACCACCTTCTCTATCTGGGGAGAAAGCTGAACAGCTCTCTGTTTTGGAGGAGAAGATTAAGAACCTTCTCGAACAAGTTGAGGCACTTGGGGAAGAAGGTAAAGTCGATGAAGCTGAAGCCCTCATGAGGAAGGTACTATTCTTTAATAAAAGCTAAAAAAATGAGATTCTAAGATTGTGACTATCATAGTGAGTATATGGTGTGAGCTGCTTTGTTAGGACCATGTTTCCACCTTTACTAAATCTTGTGAATTGGGTGCTTGTCTTTTGGCAATTTTTTGTAGGTGGAAGGGCTTAATACTGAGAAGGCAATGCTGATACAGCGACCAAATGACAAGGTACTAGCGATGGTACAGGAGAAAAAGATGGCGTTGTGTGATGTTTGTGGTTCATTCCTTGTCTCTAATGATGCTGTAGAAAGGACTCAGTCTCATGTCACTGGGAAGCAGCATGTTGGCTATGGCATGGTCCGGGATTTTCTTGCTGAACAAAAAGTAAGTCTCTGAATGAATATTTGAATCTTTTGCTTCATGTAAATTTGCTTATGTTTTTTTTAAATATAAATTGCAGGCTGCTAAAGATAAAGGAAGGGAAGAAGAAAGACTAGTCAGAGGAAAAGAAGCAGACGATCAGAGGAAACCGAGGGACAAGGAATCCGAGAGTAAGAGGAGTGGTTCCAGTGATAGAGAAAGATACCGTGATCGAGACAGAGATAGGGACAACAGACACAGAGACCATGGTAGGAATCATAGAAAGCCTTATGACAGGAGTTCCAGGAGTGGAAGAGATGGTCGTGACCGAAGCAGGTCACGTTCTCCTCGTGGAAGGTCTGGTCACAGAAGGGTGTCGAGAAGTCCGGTTCGCCAGTACTAGTTTGAGAGATAACGTGTTATCTCTTATGTCTTGGGGCCAGGAGCTTTGCAAACGCATGAGGTAGACATTGTGACTTCCCCCTAAGTTACATTGGCATGTGTGTTTTCGTTTTTTTTTGAAACTTGTTAAAAAAAATTTAAGGATGAAAATTGTCTTTCTCCCCGTTCAGACAGTGTAAGAGATTGAGACCTTAAACCCAATCTCCATCGGTTATTTGTTAAGAGGTCAAAAGCGTTGAGGTAGGTAAAAAACTGTATAACTTTTACATTTTTTATTAAATTGTATTCCTCAACGTTTGAGATGCTATAGCTTCCTTTTCATTCTCTCTTGTGGTTGATATGCCTTTCTGATTCAAAGACTACAGAATCGGGAAATAGTCGGCTCGATTGACACATACTATTTTGAGGTAACAACTTTGTACGACACAGAAGTCATCTTTATTAGAAGTTGGGTTCGGTAATTTTGTCTATTTGTTTCGAGTTTTCTCTCTGCACTTAGGTGTAACATCGCAGGAGGAACCATAAGCTTAGGCTTTTTGGAGTTAGATATAATTTCCTTCAACAAAAAAGACTTCATTGTACAAAGGAGTGTCTCTGCAATCTAGGGTACAGACACCGTCCTTCTATTTGTACGAGACACAATGGCTGGTCCATTTTCCAGTAGATGCATATCTTCTGCTTTTGAAATTCAGTCTCCTACATTTCAACCGCACTTGAGCAGTTCTTGTAATCATTTGAAGAAGTTGTAGACTTGCAGATTCTTACACTTTGGCCATTGGTGTTCACTTGGGACCAAGACCTTTTATGGCATTTCTTTCCAACCATGCGCATCTGAGCATTTAGACTTAATATTACCATCACTTGTAACAATATGTTTAGATTGACTATCTGTTTGTTCTGAATAAAGGGAAGAAAAGAGATGGTAGAATATATGTTGTTATAATTCTATTGATAATGTATCAACATTAATAATTTATTATTACATTATTGAGACATCTCCTAATCATTATTGAGACATCTCCTAATCAACCAGTCATTACTATTTTAAAAATACATCAATTTTAATTGTTACTAGATTTTAACCCGCGTTTGAAAACGCGGAAATTTTTTATGATTAAAAATTTATATAATTGAGTTTTGTCTTTAATTTAAAGAATATTTTGATATAAAATCAGTTCACCAAAATTTGTGGTGATGATTGTTTTTCATTAGTTTTTATTTTTAGATTTTGGTTTTTGGTTTTTGGTTTTTAGTTTTTAAGTTTCTACTTTCATTTTCAGTTTTTGGTTTGGGTTATTAATTTTTGAACCCGCTGAGTTAGTTTGAACTAATATTACCAACAAACAAATCTCAAATAATTGAACATCTAATTTAAAACTGAAAAGATGAAAACAATTTTTTTTAAAAAAAATTTGAAATAGTTTATTTTGTAAATAAACAAAGCAAAATATATAACATGTGTTTTTCAGCTTTTGGTTTTGGATTTTAGTTTTTTGATTTGGTTTTTGGTTTTGCTTTACATTTTTTTAATCAATAAATTATTTAAGAAAAATAAAACAATAAATTATTTAAAAGTTACCATTGAAATTTATCAAAACAAAGTGATTGTTATTTAAAATAAAAAAATATATTAACATGTTTTAAAGTACATGATTTAAATAAATGATTAATAATAGATAATTTTGTTTTGTTAAAAATACTAAATACCTTTTGGGTCTGAAAATAATAACTGATTTTTTGATCTTTTAAGGTGAAAAGTTTATTCAATTTTTTTGGAGTTTTTTCTTAATACTAAGCCAAAAACCAAACTATATAATTTGTTCAAAACATAAAAGTAAGCCCTAAACTATATTCCATAAATAACCACTGGTTTAATTTAAGTATAATTAGTAGATTTCCATATTCCATATTTTGATGATATATATTCTTTTAAAACATTCCATATTTGTCGTATGTGTTTTTGGACATAGATACCTGCCGTATTTTGAAGGTAGTTTACATTAAGGTCGTCTCTTTACATTAATTGTGTTGGTTTAATTTAAGTAATACGGTTCAATCAATTATATGATTTATATTATTTGTAACATTGTAGAAAGAGTCCAAATTTAAAAGACAACTTGTATCAGTAAATAAAAAAGAATAACTCTATTTTAATAGAGTAGATATCAATTATACAAATTGTTTAATAACTCTTGAAATCATATTCATCCATATCTGTAAATTCCGGCAATCATATAACCTATCAATTTCAACCATGTCCTAACTGATGTGGTGAAGATAAAATTCTTAATTTTTATAATAAACTACATTAACAAATACTAATTTCATATGGCAAACTGAATATTTTTACTTTTGCATGCTTTTGCCGACACATTAACAAAAACATAAGTTAATTTACCTCAAAACCGGGTTATATCCATTCTTCTTTATCAGAGTTTCCAACTACCATTAGAAATCGTCATTGTATTCCAATTCCAACTGCTATTATGTTTTAGTATGTGTATAATACTTGATTACGATCTCTCTCTCTCTTTTTATTGACAATCAGATTTACCGCCCGACAATGGAAGTGAAGCTACCATCTAATTTGGAAGAAGAAATTAACAATAGAGTTCCATGCAAATCTCTTGCAAGGTTCAGATGTGTATGCATGTTTTGGAACATTCTGAGTCATGAATACAAATTCCTCTGAAAGAACTTCTCTCATAGTGGCAGAGCAAGAGACTTTTTAACTAGGGTCAAAGTTAATTAAAAATTTGTGTCACATATCGATAGAAGAAAGTGCACAAAAATTTTACATGAATAGTGCATCATCTATAGCGCATGACATCTTAAAATATTAAAAAAACAACTTTTTAACATATCACAAAATCTCTATAACTTTCATAAACCATGTTGATTAACTAGCAAAAATAGTTTGAGTGAACATTCAAAACTATATATTAGCTTGACACAATTAGTTTGGTAATCTTGTACTATACTTTATCAAGTGAATGAAAATTTTGACAAAAAAATAACTTGACTTAAGTTATTTTACCTAATTGTAATGATATTAAAATCTCAATTAATCAATAATTGTTTTAATATGTTAAAAATGTAAATAATTTAAAACCTACCCAAATTAACACATAGAAGAGAAATATATAATTATGAATTTAAATTATAACTTCCTAGTATGGTCAACAATTTATATAAAATAAAGGAACCCAAATATATGATATTTAACTTTATTTATTGTGTGGCTAAAATTACTTATAGTGATCCTGCTTAAAAATAGAATATAAAATATTATTTTGCAGATGGAATAACATGGATTTCAAATTATAGAGGGGGCGATAACAAATTTGTAATAGGGTATCAAAAAATTATGAATTATTAAAATTAAGTGGGGTCAACTGACCCCCTTAGTTTCCATGTACTTCCGCTCATATCTCGTATGCACAACTATAGCAGCCAACATAGTAGGTTGAGTCATTATGACAAAGATATTTCTTGTGTTGGCTTTAATGAGCAGCGCTACAAATGGTGATCGAAGACCTTATAGTTACAAAAGTAGGTCCAATCGGGTACCTTAATAATAATAAGATGTAGAAGATTGTGCATTGCGACAGACTCCTATTGTGTGTGATGGACAACCAGCTTTTGGTTTGGAACTCATTACTTAAAGAAACTAGTTGTATCAATTGCGGCAGCGATTTTCACCAACATGAGGATGCTTACAACCTTGGATAAGTCAATTCTGATTACAAGATCTTAAAGTTTCGATGTGGTGGTAACTCTAGAGGTAGGCTTCCAAGAGTTGAGGTTTGTGAAGTTTCATCTTAGACATGGAAGGTTATAGATTTGATCACTTTTGATTGGGTAATGGGTACTCAAAGTATCATTGTCAAAACTTTCTTCAAAATGAACTCCTTACCGGATAGGTCTTTGAGTTGACTATACAACTTTTGTGCAGAGTTTTGATTTTCCAAAGAAAAGTTTCAAACTGTAGACGACCTACCATTTTGGTATGATGAGTTTAATCCTCTTGCACTAGATATTTTTAGAGGAGATTTGCTTTTCGTGTTAGAGCAATGTCATAAAACAAGGAAGATTTGCATATGGGTGAAGCATTGTTTGATGATACCTTCGTGGAGCATGTTGATGGTTGTGGCTATACCACATTTTCTGCAGTTATATCAACCTTCTATTCATTATTCATCAAATTATTCATCGGCCAGGATGGTAGGCTCGTCATGACTGTTATGGGCGTTGAGACAAGAGGACAAACTTTTAATAATATTTGCAGAGTTATTGACGAAAATGAGTTCAAAACAATTGGAGCACCAGATTTTTGCGGAAAATTTTCGTCATGTAACTATGTTCCGGGGTTATTTAGGCTTCATGGATTTTCGAATGAAGAGCTAAGTCAAATTTGGCGAAAAAGTGTATTCAATTATCTTTTGATTTAGTTTGAACCGTATGCCCATAATAATACCAATGTTCCTAGTACTCCGCATATCTTGGACCCACATGCCGTGTCTAAATCCGTGGATCTCAAGTAATGGTGAGGTGACTTGATCTTTACTACTATTCCCTTGCAAGTTAGCTATCTCGAAAAACAAAATAGTACTTAGATGATTTGTTAAACCTGGCTGAGACCATGTTTATTTTGTCAAATAGGTACATATCGAATTTTTGTGTTAAACCGTAACAAGAAGGTTCTTTGGTTTAGAATGTCACCAATTTCTCATAAATGCTTTCTCTATGAATAGGAACTAACAACCACAACATACACACATCTTGTAAACTCTATAGCTTATTTATTTCCCAATTTTGAAAGAAAAGCCAAAAATAATCTTTCAAATATGATAAGAGTTTTTCTTATTATACATAACAATATAACATTGCAATACACAAGAGTTTTGAACATTGACTACATATATGTTACTAAAGGCAAATTTTACAACAGAGTAATAACTGCACCACGAAGAATATAACTAAAAGAGTTGTCTTATATCATCTCTTCTTGAAGAATTTGCCGCCTCTCTTTCCAATTCCAGCACCTTCGAGCTTGGACAAGAGATGAGACCTTGTGTCTGGTCTCCACGTCAGGTCTTTGAGAAGGGAGAACAAAGACGAAAGTGCCGGTGAAATCTCGCTGTCTTTAATATTCTTACATGACACCACTCTCATGCTCTCCAGCTCTTCCCAGTGCAAAATAACTGACTCTAACCCACTTGTTGTTAGGACTGAACATCCTTCCAATGATACAAACCTCACCCTCCTGCAAACAAAAAAAAATGATCAATAAAATTAGCAGAATAGTTCATATCATTGCAAGGGAAAACATATGTAGTAAACTGATATACCTGAAAGCTTTAGTCAAGCTGAAAGAATCATCATCCAACCCCCAACAATCCTTAACACAAACCTTACTCACTCCATCACACACCTTAAACAAAGCTCTCATCCCTTCTCTATCACTCAAACAACACCTCTCCAGCCCCAAACTCTCCAACCTCGGACAAGACCTAAGCATCACCTCCGGACCAGGACAAGAATCAATCTTCCCACAAGACAACACACTCAACCTCTTCAAACTCCGAAAATACGAAAGCCCAGCTATCCACCCATCATCCATCTTATGATCACAAACACTAAACTCCTCAAGGAACTCACAACACTGCCCAATTGCTTTAATCCCATCGAAGCTACCTTCACAGCCACTAACCTCAAGCTTCACTAATCTTTTACAACCCTGTGCTAATATCGTTAAACCTATATCCGAAACAGACGAAGTATATAATCCTTCCACGCTTCCCACGAGTTTTAAAACTCTTAAACTCTCGAAAGCGGAGATGCCACGTAGGATATTATCGTTACACTTTTGTAACTCTAGCTCTTGTAGATCTGAACAGTGCTCAGCTAAACCGAGTAAACCGAACTCACTAGCGTTAATCACTACGAGTTTAGTTAAATCACTGCTTCCTTTCGCTAAAACCCTAAGTCCTCTATCGATTACTTCGCTATGTAACAGATTCTCTTCCCAATTCGACGAATCTGGAGATACATGAAACGACGTCGTTTTGTGGCAGAGGAGAGTATTAGAGCGCGGATTCATACACGCGGTGGAGAGATCGACGGTTGTTAGCTTCGGGAATCTGGAGGTGAGCTTCCCTGACGAGAGAAACTCCCAATCGAGAAGCTTGAGAGTGCGTAGACGGCGTCCCTGGAGATTCAGCCAGCGTTTGCAGACGAGAGAGACGGCGTCGTTTTGGTTCTGTGTATCGGGGAGGTTCTGGAGGATTCTGAGGAGGAGGGAATCGGGTAAGGAGAGTGTTCGATCGATTTTTGCGGAGGAAGCGAAATCGAAATTGAAATTGGGAGTTTGGGGTTTAGACGTGGATCTCGGTGATTGGGAGTTGATCACGGCGGAGACGACTTCTTTAAACGACATCGTGGGGTGGTTGAGCCATGATCCAGTCCAGCTCGAGCGTCTTCTTCGTAGAGGCGATTTGGGACTCGTTGGCATCTTCTCCCGAAACGACATCGTTTGGAGAAAGTTCGATTTCGATTTGATTCTTTGCTTCTTATTATTCTTAGTGGCGATGTTTTTTTTGTGTGTGTTTGTGAGATTGAGATTATACGGAACTGTTACAACGGATACTTTGATTGAGATGTTGTGAGAGAGAGAGAAGGGAAGATAAGAGAGAGAGAGAGAGAAAAGAGGTTTTCGAATTTTATTTTTTTGTTTTTTTAATGTGGTAAAATGAAGAGGCAATACTCATTAATGGGTATCACGGTGGGATTAGAGTTGACTGTGAGAGAGGGGTACACAATAAATAAGTCTTCTGCACATCTCCCACTATTTAATGGGGTCCACTCCAACTTAATTAATTATCCTTAAGTAAATATTACTCACTCTATTTCTAAATAAGTGTCACTTTAACCTTTTAATTTTGTTTCAAAAAAGTGTCATTCTATAATCCCAATGTAATTTTGTACATTAAATCTATTTTTTACCCTTTTGAATAACCAATAATATTTTACTTAAATTATTTTTATTTAATCAAGCATACATTAAATAAGGATATATTAGTTTATTATACAATTTTCTTAATTTATGTGTAAAGAGTTAAAATGACACTTATTTAAAAACAGAGGGAGTATTATCCCAATTATCCTTAAGTTTTTTTTTTTTTTGTCACCAAAAGGTTTAAGTAAAGTTTTTAATTACTATCTAGTATAATTTTAAAAGGTCATATATTTTGAATAAAATCATAGAACTTCTCAAATATAAGAAAATAGAAACAGAAATTAAAATTATTCAACTTGTACTAAAATTTATAAAATCTAATCAAGAACACACATTAAAACAAACTAAATTAAAAATATTAAAATATTTAAAACCTCAAAATTCTTTAAATATAATACATTAACGAACTATACCAGACAAACCTTAACAAAAAATTAGTTTAGAGTGCATAGACTCCCGTCTATATGATAACGACTGGCAATATTCAAAACATTTTTTCATAAAATCAAATTTATATGAATCAAATCGTTTTACTATTATAAATCAGTTGAAACTGTTTTAAATGAGTTTACATCAATCTAAATTAATAGAAATCTGTTAAATTAAATAATAGTGGTAATAAAAACTATAAATTTGTCTTTTTGATATATTTAAATGTTGATAAAATTAAAGCTAAAAGGTAAAATATCTTGTATAAATAAATATATATAAAATAATTCAATAGTTTGGTAAACGTCTAACCCGGAATAATTTGCCCCAGTCATTATTTTTATACAACAGGTGTAGTTACAGTCTATCAATTTTTTTTTAACATTACTAGTACTAAATTAGTTTAATTCAGTAAGACAGAAACATGTTGCTTTCAGAAACAGATACCCTAATTTCAGGTCTCCCACTTGTACACACACCCGTAAACAAAGGCAGTTAAGCTGCCTATTAATATGGTTTTCCATATTCTATGATTCAACTCCTAAACAAAATTTATTAGAATACAAACACCCACTAAGTTCGAAGAAGGTCCTACAAAAAAATCATTTTGTAAGTTATATTTGTCGATTTCCCCCATCTTTTTCCCCTGTCTAAACCTACGAGGACTGAGCCGGTGGTGAATGGTGATGGACCTTCTTCTATACCCACAGGCTCTGGAACGTCCAGACTTGCTTGCGCTTAAGTTTCTACCGATCTTTTTTGTGCATCCTCTACCTGATGCATTTCTAGCCTAGCTTTCTCCACTTGTAAGCAGTAAACAACCAGTAAATGTTAGACATCCTCCACTTGATGTGTGCTATCTGTCAAACTATATTTAAAGTGTTGGAAAGATTTATTGGATAGCGTTTAAGCTAAGCTTACAGAATTCGTTTTTCACTCATATACACAAATTAGACTGAATCTAAACCTTCCAACAAGAAAGATATAAGAAATAAGGGTACCAGAGCCCCCAGTACTTGAGGTTAAAAGTTTGATAGAGATGATAATACAAAAATATAACAGTCAAATTATACTCTATATATACAAAATAAAAGAATAAAGATAGATGATGTTTTAAAAAAAGAATAAAGATAGATTATCATCAAGATCTTTAGTAAATAATTATAACCAGTAAATAAAATTAGATCACTGTACAAGTTTATCCTAAAGATAATAAATTATGATAAAGTTATTATTGAAGGAATTTATGTCCCAATTAAACCAGATCATCTATCCAATTCAGACAAATTGTTTTTATGATACTAATCATACAGTGTTTCTTAGTTATCAAACCTCTAATTTTGCTTAGTTTCACATTTTATAGAATCTGAAATTAATTCTAGTGCATTGCAAATTTTTAAACATGATCTAACTCTAATCAAGTTAATGACTTTTATCTTTCAATTAAATTAATTAAGTAAATTACAGTATTGTTAAACAAAACATAGTCATTTATGAGTATGATGATATTTTTTTTGATTTTGATAGTATGTTTTGGTTTTAATTATAAAAACCATGATCAGTTGCATAATTGAATAGAGAAGTATTAAAACACAGTATAATCAAACAAACAATGACTAAACCAATTCAGACCAAACCAAGAATTAATCCAACACATTAGATACATCAAAATATAAAACCAAACACTTAGTAGCTTATAAGAGCCTACATGGATCAAAAATTCAGTGATAAATTAAACATACAACATTATAATTACTAAAATGATTTTATGGCATAGCATGATAGGAATATTTATGCGGATATTCGTTACAAGAGACCTTAAAGACGAAAAACTGGCTATTCAACACTTCTGTTTTCAGTACATAAGAAGAATTTTGTAAACGCTTTAGCCAAGCTGAAAGAATCATCATCCAAACCCCAACAATCCTTAACACAAACCATTTTAGGATTGTTCACAGTTTGGGCTTTAAATGGGCCTACGTTTGACACTAGCCCAACATAACTAAAGCCGCCTTTGTAAAATTTCGAGCCCCGTTCTTCTTTCGTCGTCTACCTCAAATTGCAACTTGACCTTCGTTAACTTAAAACCTAACATAGCCCTCCTCTCATCATCTCTTTACTTTCCCCTAAATCTGAAACCCTAGTTCTCAAACTCGCCATGGATTCCGTCGAATTGAATCCTCCTTCGCACACCCTAGACCAACCTCCTCCTCCTCCTCCCTCCGAACCCTTAGATTCATCCAACGGAGACAACACATCTCCCCTCGCTCCGGATCAGATTCCAGCTCCCGAAGCTCCCAACGGCTCTTCCAACGGAAACGACAAGAATCAAACCGATGATACCACAACCCGAAGGAAGCGTCGGAGCAGGTGGGATCCTCCACCTTCCGAGTCGGTCACGAGCGCCGAAGGCGGCGATTCCGGTACCGGGACAAGGAAGCGTAAGTCAAGATGGGCTGACGACGAGCCGAAACCGATTCACCTACCCGATTTCATCAAGGAGATCACTGGAGGTATCGAGTACGATCCCGAGATTCAGGTTTTGAACAGTAGGTTGCTCGATATCAGTAGGTTGCTTCAGTCCGGTATGGCTTTGGACGATAGACCCGAAGGACAGAGGTCTCCTTCGCCGGAGCCTGTGTATGATAACATGGGGATTAGGATTAACACTAGGGAGTATAGAGCTAGGGAGAGGTTGAATAGAGAGAGGCAAGAGATTATATCTCAGATTATTAAAAAGAATCCTGCTTTTAAACCTCCCGCGGATTATAGGCCTCCTAAGCTTCAGAAGAAGCTGTTCATTCCGATGAAGGATTATCCTGGTTATAATTTTATTGGTCTTATTATTGGTCCGAGGGGGAATACTCAGAAGAGGATGGAGAGGGAGACTGGTGCTAAGATTGTGATTAGGGGTAAAGGGTCTATGAAAGAAGGGAGGCTGCAGAAGAAGGATATGAAGTATGATCCTGCTGAAAATGAGGATTTGCATGTTTTAGTTGAGGCTGAGACTCAGGAGGCTCTTGAAGCTGCTGCGGGTATGGTTGAGAAGCTTCTGCAGCCTGTTGATGAGGTGTTGAATGAACATAAGAGGCAGCAGTTGAGGGAGCTTGCTACCTTGAATGGGACTATAAGGGATGAGGAATTTTGTAGGCTGTGTGGTGAGCCTGGACATAGGCAATTCGCTTGTCCATCTCGTTTGAATACGTTTAAAAGTGATGTGCTTTGTAAGATTTGTGGTGATGGTGGACATCCTACTATTGATTGCCCCGTGAAGGATACTAATGGGAAGAAAATGGATGATGAATATCAGAACTTCTTGGCGGAGTTAGGAGGAACTCTCCCTGAATCTTCTCTCAAACAAAGTGCTACCTTGGCTCTGGGACCGGGGAGTTCGGGAAGTAATCCTCCATGGGCTAACAGTGGGGGCAGTGGGCCAAGTGCGCATCCTGGCTTAGGGTCAAATCCAGCGAAACCCTCGAAAGAATATGATGAAAAAAATCTGTACATTGGGTTCTTACCTACGATGCTTGAGGACGATGGTTTGATTAATCTTTTTTCACCCTTTGGTGAAATTGTGATGGCAAAGGTAATCAAGGACCATATTTCTGGTCTGAGCAGAGGCTATGGTTTTGTGAAGTACGCAGATGTTCAGATGGCCAATGCGGCTATACAGGCAATGAATGGTTATCGGTTAGAAGGTAAAACACTTGCTGTCAGGATTGCTGGTAAACCGGCACCGCCTCCTGGGCCCCCGGCACCTCTGCCACCTACTCAGTCTTATCCTCCTCCAAACCAGCCGTCTGGTGCCTATCCGTCACAACCATATGGCGCTGGCGGGCAAATGCCACCTACTCCTTGGGGTCCTCCTGCTCCTTCCTATTCTCCATATGCTCCTCCGCCACCTCCTGGTTCTTACCATCCTGTCCCTGGTCAACATATGTCTCCCTATGGAATGCACTACCCACCACCACCACCTCCTCCTCATGTGACACAAGCTCCTCCACCTGGCACTACTGCTAGTGAAAGCCAGCAAAGCTTCCCGCCAGGAGTAGTACAAGCTGACAGTGGTACTCCTCCTTCATCTGGGCCACCAAATGTCTATGGTAGTTCGCTTTCTTGTTTACCTGGACAGCCTCCATATATGAGTTATCCATCTTATTACACTGCTGTTCCACCTCCACCTCCTCCTCCAGTGCCGACGTCTTCCGCTGATCATTCCCAAAGCATGAGCAACATGCCATGGGCCAGCAATCCTCCTGTGTCGTCATCTGATCACTCGCAGGGTCTTGGCAATGCACCTTGGGCACCTAATCCACCTATGCCACCTTCTGTTGGATATTCCCAGAGCATGGGGAACGCACCATGGGCTCCTAAGCCTCCAGTACAGCCACCTGCAGAGAATCCATCCGCTGTTGGAGATTCTGAGTACGAGAAGTTCATGGCTGAGATGAAGTAGCATGTGGTGTTCTAAGGATAAACTCCTTAGTGGAGAGGTAAGATGTCCTCATTTGATATTTTTTGCATGTCACCCTACAGGTTTTGAATTTCAAATTTGAAACTGGTCAGTTGGCTTTAGCATATGATAAAAGTTTTCATCCTCAAAAATTCTACGTTTTAGAAATATTTTTTCGGAAAATCATTTTTAGACTTGCAGTTGCAGGATGAACCAAATCGAGTACTGCCTTTTTCAAAAGTTTTTCTCCTTGTATGCTTCATTTTCACGTAATTCTCTGTTTATAGTTTTGTAAGTTGTTAACTAATTGATGTAGCTCATTTAATCTGGTTACTATTGTGTTTGTGAGCAGTCCCACAGCTAAAGGAGCATCTGTACCGGTATTCAATTCTAATGCATAGAATTTGGTAGTTGGATGATTAAATATTTTATTAATCTAACCCTGTGATTTTTTTCAGTCTCTACTCTTTCTCGTCTTCTTTTGTTTATTGAATATTCAGTAACTCCTAATGTGTTTTCTGTTCCATATGTGACGCATTTGTTTTCAGTTTTTCCATGTGACAAGATCTAAGGTGCCACTAGTATAGGTTCCAAATATTTGTCGCTCTTATTCTATACGGGTTATTGACAAGAAACTTTGTTTTCTTCTATTGTTTAATTTTTTTTTCAGGTGTGATGTTTCTTGGAGCTGTTGTACCCTGTTTTCTTACATCTTTCTTGTTGGAAGTTTGGGACTCACATCTTAACCACTTGCTATGCTGTTGTGAAATATGCAGAGATCCAGGCTGGAAGGAAGCTCTCAGTTCATACTGTTGCGCTTCAGAAAGACCATAATATATTTTATTCATGTTTACTGATAATAATTTGTTTTCTGTACCTTTTCAGTTTGGGATTTGAAACTTTTGGTGGTATTGGTGTCGACATTGCATATCATATCTAGTTCCTGATACATCTTTTGGATCATTAAACTTTTTTTATAAGTTGGGTGCAGACCATTATGTTTTAAGTGTGTGCTTACTTACGTTAACAATTTTGGTAAGTGGTGTGATGTGCTGAAACTAGGGGATATTGGCAAGGAACATATTCGTATGGAGGAAGTTGCGCATCTGCTTTGTTCATTTTTGTTGCCATTGGCAGATGGGAAACCTCTGTCCGAGCTAACGGAGTTACCGTATCTTGTGTTAAGTAAAGGCATTGTTTCGGAAGAATATATATAACATCTCTTTAGAGAAAACAAGAAATTTTCTGATATCTAGTTATTATTATTTCAAACACTGCTCTCGCATAGAAGAATAAAAACAAATCTAGATTGGCTATTTAGATGCAATGTTTTCTCATAAATATTGGTAAGTGCAGGTGCAATAAAATGACAGGTGAATTTTAAACGTGTAATTTACTAATTTATCTTATCGCAAGATAATGAACTTATAAAATTATATACGAGCTTAAAAATAGAAAAAAAGGAGAAACTTATAGGAAGGAGGCCCAACTATGCAATTAACCCATATTTGTCCATTCAAATCTGAAAGTCCTCTGATGCTCTGAATATATTCCTTCTTCGTGCAACGACGACCCTTAACGTTCTTCGTTGGAAACCAAAATAAAATAATATTAAAAATCATTGACGATTTGGGAAGTTTTTTAATCCTAAGCAACACCCGATTTGATCTGGCTCGAGTACAATGGATGAAGATTCCAGCTTTTCTGGTTTGGACGAAGATTCCGGCAGCAATAGCAATTGTGAATCGGCGGTAATGAGCGGGTGTTTTTACTTGGATCATGTCGGGGATGTTTTGCTTACACGTAATCAACATGGTTTGTCCTGGAAATGTCTGGATTCTTCAGATTGTGTAAGCTTTTATATCGATAATTGTTTAGTTATGTTCATGCCTTCTTCTCTGTTCGTTGACTTTTATCTTTCTGTCTCTGTCCAAAATTCAGTCATGTCTGCATGAATTATTTGATTTTTGGAGCTTTGAGAAGCAGATTCAATGGAATTTTTTTCGTTCTTTTACTGCTATTTTATTAGATAAATGTATCTATTTTAATAATAAAAATAAATATATCTATTTTCGTGTGTTCTACGTTGGCAGGAGGGAACGACTTGTTTGGGAATTGGAAGTTGGGAGAACACTGAAACTGAGATCAAATTCTCCGATATTTATGCCGTTGAGTTTGATAGCTACGGTTTGGTGCATAGTCCAAAGTTAGGCCTTGGACATGCCAAAGAGTGTTTCAAGAAACGCTTGTTAACTACTCAACAGGTTTTCTTTCAAACCTTTTTTGTCTTTTATTTTTCTCCTTCTTGGAGACTATAATGTAATGAGTTTTTGCCTTTGCTTTAATGTTAGATGTATCGGTTCACTGTGCACGGGTTTCAAACTTCACCAAAGGAGCCCTGTCTTTGGAAACTTGCTGCATTCACTTTTGGACATATGGATTTGCAGACGTGCCAGAGCTGGATGGATCTGTTGAATTATACTTTGATCAAGGAAGTTGAAAGACCAAGGAATCTATTGGTAAATCTTTTTTGTTTTTGTTTGTGCACTTTGTTCCTGCTCTTATTCTTATGAATGATTGCTTGCAACTTCTTTAGGTATTCGTCCATCCGAAAAGTGGCAAAGCAAGTGGGCTCAAGATATGGGAAACTGTTTCCACGATTTTCATTCGCGCTAAAGTTAATACTAAGGTCTGTTTTTTTCCCATCACATTACTAGCAGAATGATCACTAGTAATTATCTTTGTGAGAGTTGTTATAGGTTAATTTTTGATGGAGAAAGGCATAGGGATATTGCTTCTTTCGGTATTGATTGTGTGTTAAAGTAGAGCATTTCGGGAAATGTTGTTTTATATTTTAATGTATTTGATTGGTTATGGTTTGTCAAGGTCAATAGTGATTTGTTGTTTATTCTGTAGTCATTTTATTACCTGCAGCAAAGTGAGTAGTAATGTATATGTTGTAGTGAGTAGTAATGTATATGTTCTTTTAGTAGACATTACAGCATTCCACAGTTTTTGCTAGTTTAGATGTTGTGTTGGCCAAAGGAGACTTTCTTTGTTTCTACAACACTGCTTTGTGATACTATAACTCTCATACCGAAAGACAAATATATTTCTCAGTGTGCCTAACTCTCCTTAATTTGATATTCTTGATTTACCACTGAATCAGGTGATTGTAACAGAACGAGCAGGACATGCATTTGATGTAATGGCATCTATCCAAAACAAAGAACTCCATTCATATGATGGCATCATAGCTGTTGTAAGTTGTATACCTTTCAACATTTCGTTGTTGTTTCGCTAAGTGCATCTGTAAAATATTTGTGAAACGCTTTTGGGATGTGACATAACATAACCTTCAATTCAATACACGCTTCTCCAGAATCTCCACTCTTGTTGTCACACTTTCTTCCTAGTCATGTGCCATACTCGTGGATCATATATTTGTTTCTCGTTAAACGATTTTCATTATTTTGATACCTTGAAAAAAATCAATTTATGTACAGGGTGGAGATGGTTTCTTCAACGAAGTCCTTAATGGATATCTTTTGTCAAGGCTCAAAGTCCCTCTTCCACCAAGTCCTTCTGATTCCTTTAGTACTGTTCAAAGTAGAGGTAGCACCTCAGTTCCAGAATCAGGAGATGCAGTTCATGAGAGTGACCAAAAGGAACACTTTCCTCTTCTTCACGATTCAGTTCAAGAGGTCATGAATTTCAGTATGTATTTGAATCAACTTTATCTCATCTTTGTTCAGATTGGTGTAGGACTCTGAACTAGTTGTAATCTTTGGGTGTTACTGTTTTCCTACAGGGACAGTCAATGGCTCATGTCAAGGTCAGTGAGTTTTGTTTGTAGAAGACATTAATTTGTCAAACATGTCCTCTTAATTAATCCTTTTATTTTCTATGTGTCTTCTTCCTGTTCTTAATAATTTGCAGGAACTGAAGATCCTGATCATCCCTTCAATGGTGAAAGGCCTAGATTTGGCCTCATTCCGGCAGGTTCAACTGATGCAATAGTTATATGGTACGTTTCTTACCATCATATATTCATTGTAATCCTCCTACTAGCAAAGATTTTCTTGCGCCATATAGAGGAAGATGTCTCACTTGTACCAGCAATAAGCTTTAGTTGATTACCAAATAGAATAACAACTGATACGCATTTTCAGTCTCTACTGTCTGGTTTCTCTTTTTCTTCACCATACAATGTTTTTTGAAAGTTTCGGTGTATCTCATAAACTCAGGAATGTTAAAAATAGCCTAAGGTTTTAAATTACTGTTTACACTGTCGTGTTACAGCACCACAGGAGCCCGTGATCCTGTAACATCTGCGTTGCATATCATTCTAGGTCGAAAGCTCTTCCTTGATGCAATGCAGGTTGTGCGGTGGAAAACAACACCAACCTCACCGATTGAACCTTTTATTCGTTATGCAGCCTCATTTGCTGGGTAATGACTAATTTTCTTTTAGTCAAATGTTCTGCATATATGTCATGAAGCTCTAACTTTCATCCTTCACTTACAAGGCTTTTAGTTAGTGGCATTCTCATTTTTCTAATAAATCACCTCAATTTACTTTAACCATCTAATGCCTGTGATATAAAAATGAGTTGTTCTGGCCTCTAACATAGTTTCTGTACAATTGATTAGTTCAGATACGGGTTTTACGGTGATGTTATTTCAGAAAGTGAAAAGTATCGATGGATGGGTCCTAAACGCTATGATTATGTTGGAACTAAAGTATTCTTGAAGCACAGGTATTTGCCTAATATTTTGCTTCCAGTTAAAGCATTGTTGTTTGAGTTGTTGGTTTATATGTTAATGCTAGATCATATGAGGCAGAGGTGATGTATGAAGAAGCAGAGAACGCCAAGGCTTCACCACTCACGCGGAGCAAGACATGGCCATTTCGAAGTACAACAAGAACAGAGAAGATACTATGTCGTGCAAAATGCAGCGTTTGTAACAATAAGGCAGAGGATGGTAGTAGTATGCGTGCCTGTCAAGAAAAAACAAGATGGTGTAGAACGAAAGGGAGGTTTCTGAGTATAGGTGCTGCAGTGATGTCAAACCGAAATGAAAGAGCACCTGATGGTCTTGTTGTGGATGCACACCTCTCAGACGGTTTCCTTCATCTCATACTCATCAAAGATTGTTCACGTCCCAAGTACTTATGGTAATGCCTTCTTTGCACAGGTATCCAATGCATAGTCTAGTACACCTTTGACCATGTTCTCTATGGTTGCAGGCACCTCACTGAGCTTGCGAAGAAAGGCGGGGAACCTTTAAACTTTGAGTTTGTGGAATATCACAAGGTTTGTTTAATTTTGAAGACACTCCTAACTCAAAATTTTCAGATCCCCATGTCTGTTTCTGATCCTCTCTAACTTAAATGTATTGTTGGGGGTAATGCAGACACGAGCGTTCACGTTTACTTCGATTGGGGAAGCTGAGAGTGTGTGGAACTTAGATGGAGAGATCTTTGAGGCTCACCATTTGTCAGCTCAAGTCTTGCGTGGTCTTATACCTCTGTTTGCCTCTGGTCCCGAGGTATAACAACATTCCATGTGAATATGGTCTTTATGTGGACCTAAGTGAAACGTATATGAGATTGAAACTAGATAAATTATGATAATGGACATGGCAATAAAATCAGTAGCATATATACATCCAAAGGAATTCAATGTATGTAAACGTTGCCAATTTTCAGTATATGAACTCAGAGCTGACTTGTCTCTGTGCAACATTTTAAAAGACTGCAGTGTTCATTTTCTTGAAAAAAAATTTATGATGTGATCTTTGGGTAATATATACATTAAAAACCAGGGGTTTCTAGAGAGGATTGATCCTTATTATACCTTCTTCCTTACCTTTTTTCGACCTTGTAAACTTGCACTTGTATATGCCTCCTTGTTACTTTCATTCCCAAAATTTGGATCTCCTCCTTAGTGAAGACCTTGAGAAGCTCAATTGACATAGCGTCTGGATCAAGCTCCAAGCAACCTTCAGGAGCAGTCTTAACTTCTTGAGACTCCAAGCAACAAGCAACTTGCAGAAGCAGTCTTTTGTTTTTTTTTTTTTTGCAGAAGCAGTCTTACCTTTCAGTTTGATCATACTCGTGGCCTTTTGAACCAGCGCACTTTTTGAAGCATAATTGGAGAAACCACGAGTAATATATCTGATCCCTGCAACTGATTCTTCTCAAGTTTCGGAGAAGTTAACTATAATCTCAAAACTAGGCCTGAATTAATCTCTCTGCAACTTAGCTGAAGAGGCACATGCCACATGACAAAAAAAATCAATAGGAAATGGGTTAAAAAGAAGTGTAATCATACACCAGAGGATCTAGCTGTCTCAAGATCTTTGTTATTTCTTCATATTGTATATGTATATAAGTCAAATAAACTCTTTCGGGTATTGTATTGAAGGAGACCCTTTTGAAGACCAATCGGTAGCAATGGTTTGATAAGAACCGACAACTTAATAAAATCTTTGTTGGTCTAGTGGCTACATCTCTGCTTCTTCATCCTGTATTTCGGCCAATTTTTTATTAGGATATTTTTCTTTAAAAAAAAAAAAAGAACCGACAACTTATGAAAAAAATAAAAACTCTTGGTTTACCACCTAACAAGGTTGTTATATTTATGAACAAAAGAAGGTACGTGTTAATTACCAAGTTTTAATTAGTTGATCTCGAGCATACTTCTCTTGTCTTTATTAAGTGGGCTGATGATCAGGAAAGCCTCGAAGGTTACTAATAACACAGAGCAGGAGAAGAATGATGATAATCATAGAGGGAAGAAGATTATGAATTTTCTTGAACAATATGATGATACCTTTTTTTCAATCTTATAGTAAGATGATTCGGTTGTGGTAAATCTTCTTGATTCAGTCTCGGGTGGAACTACATTCATGTAAAGTTTTGACTACTACCCTATTCATCTTATATCAATAAAAATGTATTGAATGTGTCACGAATATATTTGGTCTTGTCCGAGAAGTAAAGATATTCAAAGAACATATATTAAACAGACTAAAATATGTAAAATTTCTATTTGAACAGTGTAGGTTGATCAAAGCCTCACAGGTCTGCAAGGAGCCAATTCGGTGTTGCCTAAAACCCTAACCGGAAGGTGTTACATGGCTTAACACATTAACTTACTAAGAAGGTACGACTTAATTTATCAATGGTAAATGAATAAAAAAATAATGTCTAAACCAAAGAAGAAGGTAAAAATAATATATTAAATAAAATTCCACAATGAATTCAAGCAAGTAAAACCTCTAACAAAACCAAAGAAAAAGGTAAAAAAAAATAGTATATTAAATAAAACTCCTCAATGAATTCAAGCATGAACCCTAGAATGAATTCTTCAGTGCTGATAGACAATTCTTAAACTAATTACCTACCATTTATCGGGTAAAATATATGAAAAGACAAATGTAATATACCTACTACTTTCTGTAAAGCAAATCAATAACTCTTAAATAGAAAAAAAAGTATTTTAATAACCACTCCAACCGTCAAACGGAAAAGGGAAAATGTAAAATAGTAACATCCAAAGGATAAAAGGGGTCCAAAAGTAGTTAAAACCTACTCTTATTTTGTTTTTTTATTGTTTAGAGTATTTTTAAAAACTTAAACAAAAGCTTCTGGATCTTCAATTTCGGAGCTGTTCGAGAAACTCAGTACAGTTGTTCAAGGTTTGGGCGTCAAGATGGCCATAAATCCTCTGTGTCCACATAAACTTCTTCCAGCACCTACACATGGTACTCACATTTATCAGTTAATAAAATCACTTTCTTCTCTGGAAACACTTGTCAGATAAAAGGAAAATGAGAGTTAAATTACCCGAGCATGTAGATATTTCGGACCATGAAGGATCCATGTAGTTTTGAGAACTCATAACATCCCCATGGAATGCGACCATCTTCAAATACTCTGCAAAGGGTCAACAGCCAGTGTCAAGCTAATGCTTTAACCTATCATTATATATCTTTTCAATATGTAAAAAGTTGTGCAGACCACAAACTATAATAAACATATGTGACACCAAATTTGGTTGCATTAAGACTCGAAATCACATGTACTGAAAAGAGAGAAGGCATATACCGGTGCTCCTTGGCAAAAGAGGTCCACATGTTCTTTATTTGCAATATTTCAGGTCGCATTTGGCTCTTCTCACTTTTAAAAGAGTCAGCATCTGAAAAATAAAAAATTAAGAAGATTTTTCAAATGATCCAGTGTTGTCTAGTGCACATAACAAATTAAATTAGTCATAAATTAAAACTAAACAGGTTCCGAAAATTACAAGATCCAAATAAGGAAAAACAAAAAAGATTCATTACAATTAAACACATACCGTAAGTCTTGCGAGGCCCCGGCCTTGGGTTCCTAACCGGAGTCTTCTGCTTCCTACGTCTGGATTTTTTTGAACTGTTATTGTAATTTTTTGTTTGTGGATTAAGTAAGATTGAAAACTAGATGCGAGTAATAGGGTAGACAACTTACGATAAAGGGGATGGTTCCAGTCTTGCGTTAGAGTCGCCCTCATTAATCTGAATTTTGGAAAACTACAAAAGACAGAATAAATATATTATAGACTTATTTCTACTACTAGAAAGGTTTGACACTATTGTGATTTTAATTTCTCCATGCCATCGAAGACTATAGCAGATATCATGGTGTTGCAAAATAACTAGGAAATATTCCAGCTCTCCTATTTAAACACTCAAAAGTACCGATGTCAAAAAAAAAAAAACACTCAAAAGTACAACAGCACATTGAGGATATTATTTTGGAAATAAGATGTCCTAACCTCGGTGATCATTGTCTGCACATTTCCAGGAGGAACTGTTTGACTAGACGACTCAGCACCCCCAGGTGGTATTTGTCTCTTCTCACTTTTAACAGAGTCAGCATCTGAAGATAAAAAATTAAGAAGACTTGTTAAATGATCCAATGTTGTCTAATGCACATAAGAAAGTAAATTCGTAAAAAAAACAAAGTAAATTTTTCATAAATATAAAAAAAAAACAGGTTCTCAAAACACATACCTGCAGTCAGAGCCCCATACCCTAAAAACCTTACCGGAGTCTTCTGCTTCCTACGACTGAATTTCTTTGAACTGTTATTGTAAAAAAAATTTTATGGTTTAAGTAAGTTTGACACCTAAATGCGAGTTAGACAAGTAAAGTCAACATAACAGGGTAGACAACTTACGATAAAGGGGATGGTTCCGGCCTTGCGTTAGGGTCGTCCTCATTAATCTGAATTTTGGAAAACTACAAAAGACAGAATAAATATATTATAGACTTATTTCTACTACTAGAAAGGTTTGAGACTATTGTGTTGCAAAATAACAAGGAAATATTCCAGTTCTCTTAGTTAAACACTCAAAAGTCAACAGCATATTGAGGATATTATTTTGGAAATAAAATGTACTAACCTCAGTGATCATTGTCTCAATCTTGGGAGGCACATTTTCAGGAGGAACTGTTTGACTAGATGACTCAACAACCCCAGGTGGTATTTGGCTCTTCTCACTTTTAACAGAGTCAGCATCTGAAGATAAAAAAACAAGAAGACTTGTTAAATGATCCAATGTTGTCTTCTAATGCACATAAGAAAGTAAATTTGTCATAAATATAAAACAAAACAGGTTCTCAAAACACATACCGGCAGTCAGAGCCCCATACCCTAAAAACCTTACCGGAGTCTTCAGCTTCCTACGATTGGATTTCTTTGAACTGTTTTTTTTTTTTTTAGATTGGCACGTAAATGCGAGTTAGATAAGTAAAGTCACCATAATAGGCCAGACAACTTACGGTAAAGGGTATGGTTCCAGCCTTGCGTTAGGGTCGTCCTCATTAATCTGATTTTTTTTTATGAACAATTTACATTTAGAAAGCTTGCTAAGAGTAATCATCAATCTGAAAAAACTACAAAATAGAATAATACTAAAGCACCAATTCTACTACTAGAAGATTTAGCATTAGCTCCTATATAAGTCAGGACACTATTCTACAGTCAGCCTTGATGACCAATTGATAGTTACAGGCCAAATCGATTGCATTGTGATTTTAATTTCTCCATGCTATTAAAGACAATAGCAGATATCATAGTGTTGCAATTAGCAAGGAAATAATCCAGTTCTCCTATTTCACTCAAAAGTCAGCAGCTCATTAGGATATTATTTTGGAAATAAGATGTACTAACCTCAGTGATCATTGTCTCAATCTTGGGAGGCACATTTTCAGGAGGAACAGTTTGACTAGACGACTCAGCAACCCCAGGTGGTATTTGGCTCTTCTCACTTTTAACAGAGTCAGCATCTGAAGATAAAAAAAAAATAAGAAGACTTGTTAAATGATCCAATGTTGTCTAATGCACATAAGAAAGTAAATTAGTAAAGAAAACAAAATAAATTAGTCATAAATATAAAACAAAACAGGTGCTGATCAAAACTAAAAATCCAAATAAGATTCATTACAATCAAACACATACCGTCAGTCAGAGCCCCCAGCCCTAAAAACCTTACCGGAGTCTTCTGCTTCCTACGACTGGATTTCTTTGAACTGTTATTATAAATTTTTTTATGGTTTTAAGTAAGTTTGACACCAAAATGCGAGTTAGATAAGCAAAGTTCAACATAATAGGGTAGACAACTTACGATAAAGGGGATGGTTCCAGCCTTGCGTTGGGGTCGTCCTCATTAATCTGAATTTTTTTTATGAACATTTACATTTAGAAAGCA